AAGAGCTCCAAACTCTAAGCGTCAGATCAGAGTTTGCAGTTTGGAGAGATCATCTGAGCAATCTGGTCTAACAAGCCCACAGAGTCTGAGCCCAGCAGCTGTAACTACAGCCAACAGTCTGGATAATTGTGTAAACTGTCAAAATGGGTCCTGAGTGTTGATTTCTTGAGGGAACAAAAGCCAGTTTTATCCATTTAAAATGGAACCATAGTGTCCAAAAAAGGGAAACGTTGTTATTTTTTTAAACCTGTTTGTTTTTATTTTTGCTGTTATAGACGAGTCGTCGTTCTTTTTATCTCAAAGGAAAACTAAAGCCCGACTATTATTATGTGGTAGATAACACATGTATTACAAATTTAGGAATTTATCAGCAACCACACTAAGGACTATCACGCTGATGATAAGCACGGCTACTGGATCGGTTTGAGAGCAGAGAGCCCAAAGACGTGGACGTGGGTCGATGGAAGTAATCTCACCGTGACGTAAGCATGACCCCGCCCACCACCACACATACAAATACTTGCCTATGATATCTTACTTAGCTCATCTAATTGACATAATGCTTTCCTTAGCTGCTTAGCTGAACTCTAACCATCACAAATACCACAACCTAACTGTAACCCTCACACTAAAACCACATTTTCAGCCTTCAAACTCATGAGGCCTAGAATTTGGGCCCTTAAGGGACTGATGGTCCCCACAAGTATAGTAACAGTCAAAATTTTGATCCTCACAAAGATGTATAAGTGCAAACACACACATTTTAACAACACATTGTAAATACCCTTTAAAAATGAGGCATGGAAGTAAAAAGCAGAATGAAAAAGTTGTTTCAACATTTCCTTCTTCTAATAACAAGAAGTTTAAGATTTACAGCCACAGGAAGTTTACAGTATGAACGAATTCCAAATAATTTTGAGGATTTTTAAAAAATCCAAGTTAAAACAACCTTTAGGCTGGAAAAGGAAGTGACGATTAAGTCGAATCAGCGCATGTCGATGGCAGACTTGTTTTCTGTTTGCATTTGTGAAATGAAAAAACAACAAAGTGTTTTCATTGAACATAAAAAGACGTCTTGCATGAATCCAAGTGAAGAAAACTGTTATTATGTTACATGTTTGATTTTGTATAATATGTTGTTAGAGAATAAATGCTGCGCGTTTGTGTCGGGTAAGAAAACATTACAGCGCATGTGTGGTAGCAGGTTAGAGTGAGCCAGGACGGCAATGGAAATGTGCGCTGTAGCAGCAAATCGTTTTTTGACCGTGACATCTTTTGTTTGCATGTACGAGTCAGAAATAAATCTGAACAGCTCACATTAAGAAGTGGAAGAATTATTTTTTCGAAGCTTGGGACAGAAATTCGCCACTACAAAAACCCCAGGCTAACACTGTTGTGTGACTTGTGTGCTCCCACCACTGAGAACACACAAGTCCTAATAAACAACAAACTTATTTGTAGCAGAGTGAAGAAAAAAAATAAAAGCTGTTAAAAACTCTTCGCTGCATCCATTGCTTGTTTCTCAAAGATGATTTTTGACCTTTGACATTTTTCTTAAGCTTCCACATCCGTGATGGACTCAGTTGTGTCTCTGACTTTTGCGAGACCAAACACAAGTGTGCATTTATGGCCTCTGTGTTGGTTAAATTGTCTCGATCCACCATCAGGAATGCTCTGTGTGCAGACACTGACACAGAGCATTGACTTATTTTTGGCACCCACATGCTGAATTTCAGAAATACAATAAAGATTATTTTGTCAAATGTTGAAATGTTGAGTAGGCATGCAGACTGACACTATGTGACTTTTTTAGGTTCTGGAAAATGCAACAAGATGTCAACAAAAGATATTGTGCTTTAAGCCTACCAAAAGCGCCCCCTCTGGCCAACTGGGGCAAAGCGAGCTGTGACATGAGAAACTGTTGGGTCTGTGAAAGACGAGCGTT